GCGTACAGACGATCACATTGTACAATGTACTGAGGGAAATAGTCACGAGTCCTTCATCGATGGCGAACGTGAACACGAGGGGACACCACCCCAATAATGCATTCCGCATCGTCGTTCCATCCTACACCCAGCAGAATCAATGAAGGGAGTCGAGAAAGCAGTATACTCTCACCGAGACAGTGCAGGCACTCCCGTGAACACTGACCGAACAGCCGTCGACTAATTGAATGGGCTGAACGGTTGGAAACACGCTTCGCAATTGTACGTGCCGTAAGCCGAGGGGTAGTACATACCCACAAACAATCCTGCGATCGCAGACCAAAGGTTATCTCATCTAGGTTGACACGCTCCGAATGCCACAGCTGTAGATGGGCGGAGGAGCCTGTGCCCAAGTTTGGAGACACGAACATCGTGATCTGCGACCTGACGGATTTGGTACCCGTTCCCTGCGACCGTGATCCATGTGAGACGCAGGTTGCCATTGGAATGCAAACGGTGGATGCTGGGAGATCGGCCAGGTGAGCCTTCAAGCTTCATGTCGCGTTTGGGTTCAAAGAATGTTTGGTTCCGTGTTGGTTTGCGGGAGACGGCCGTGAAATCACAGCGACAAAGCAATTGTGGAACAATTGCGATACATTTGTGAAAGGTAAGAGCATATGTCAGCTCCCGAGTCCACTTTCTCTGATCTCGGAAGTAGCTCAATAGTGCTACAAATACCTCCGTACCTTGGCGAGGTGAATGATCAGAACCTGACAAAAGCAATGTGGTTAACATAGGTTAGTAGTAAAGCTACAGTACATAGCTCACCGCAACCGAGTTTCAACAAAAGTGTATGCGAATGCATTGCCCTCAAGTTTTGTCATGAAGTCATGGGGCTGATTCAGACAGCCTCATGTCCGACAGCTGTAATATGCCTCGGAACCCGCTTGGGTGACTTTGACCGAGCTTGAATCCCTTTGGCAATGCGTATTTTCGAGACAGATACCAGGCCTCAATGGCATTGTCAAAAAACTGACAACTCGGCCGAGCAGACGATGGATAACGACAAGTGCATAGCCAAGTCGGGAATCGGCGGCTCTGCTACGCACCGAACGCCACAAAGGACGGCGCTAAACAACTGTTTTTTGTTGAAGGTACTGTATGCCATTGTTTTCAGCAACAAGCGACAAGATATCTAATCCTACAGGGCCTACTCTGAAAGCCAGCCACAAGTGCCACACCAGACACAAATTGAACACATACCTACTTTTCGCTGATCTTGACCACACTCGAGCGATCGTCAGCCAAACTTCTGTCGCCGTCATCCTCACCAACAGCGCCTTCCCAGCCATTCTCACGGAGATACTGCATAAACTTGCGGTCCTCGTCGGCCAAGTCGACCCCAGTCATGTCGGGCACAAAGAAGTATGTCACCAGGATACCAGCGAGACCGCATATAGCGGCGATGATGAATGTCCACCTAATTTCACGAGAAAGGTTACTCAGTACACGATGTCATTTGCGTCAATTTTTAAGGAGACGTTTACTTCTTGCCAAGGTTGTTTTGGATAGGAGTGAACACCTGGGTACCGACGGCAGCACCCACCTTGCCAAAGGCAGCTGAAAAGCCGTAGCATGTTCCGCGAACGGCAGTCGCGTAGGACTCGGCGCTGGTAAGGATGGTCATGTCCCCAGGACCTAGTTCCCCGAACGATTGCAGCACACCGTACCTGTATGCGACGCCTCGAGCTGTCAGTCGAGACTTGGAGTAGTAGGGAAACGGACGAGTGCCTACAAGACGACGAAGAGCGGGATAATCGTAGAGATTTTGTCGTACGCGCAGCCAATGATGAGTCCAAACACGATGTAACCACAGAACCCCAACATCATCTACCAGCAATGTCGTCAGGTATTGACAGCCCTCGAGATATGCAGTTGTAGCCTGACGAACCGTGTTCCGGCGACCAATGACGTTACACAGGTAGGCCCCCATAAACACACCAGGAAGGGCAAGTGTACCCAGGAGCAGCTGCCACTCCGCAGTCTTCTTGATACTGCCGTCAGGAATGATACTGGAGATGATCGCTCCGGAAAAGATATTGTTGGGATAAATGACAAAGTCGTAAAGAAACCTACACGATGGGCTTTAGTCTTCATATACGGCGAGAGATGTGGGAAGTGATACATACCATGCTCCACAGGTTCCGATTAAGGATTTCCAGTACCTTTTCACAACCAGCTTGTACGGTACATGACCTAGATGGAGGGGGTCGGTCTCAGCATGAACTAGTAAATCCGCAATGTTTCTCAGCTGCGTACGTTTAATCGCTCCCTTGCGGTACAGCTTGGAGCTGAGCATGCGCATACGGAAGTAAAACACCGTCAAGGGAAGTGCGATCCCAATCCCAAAGCAGACACGCCATACAGTGGAAAGATGATTTTCACCGGCGGCGGACAGGACGATCAGGAAAATTGAAACAGCTAGAGGTCCTCCGAGCTACCAGGCGTCCAGGTTAATGAGTGGCAATCAACAGCAGAGAGATCTGCCTTTAGCTTACGTCGAGGACAAAGTTCGTCACCATCACGACGACTGTACAAAGTCTAAGATAAACGCCATTTGCTAGGGATCTTGGGTACGTACTAGGACCACGCTTCTTGAGCGCCGCCTCGTTTGCAGCTTCACTGGCACTAGTAGAAGAAGCGGGGTATTCACCACCAACACCCTTTCGAGACGTCTGTTAGACACGACTCTGCGCCCACCAGAAGTCAGGTGAATCATGACTTACAACACCAGTGAGACCACGTGCAAAGGTCAAGAACCAGAAAAGACCAGCGGGGCTGCCATGCGCACCGTGTGCGGCTGTCCCGAGGGTGGCACCGATGATGATGAGGACCGTCGTGCCCACCAAAGCTATTTTACGACCGAAGCGATCGCAAATGAAGCCCACGAGAATCATACCGAAAATGTCGCCTTTTGGATTTGGTAGAAAGTGATCAGCGAGACGCCGTGAGAAAGAAAGACAGCTACTCAGATGAGTATACTGACCGACGAGAAGCGCATTGGAGACACGGGTTGACACAGAGGATGTGTATTCAGCTGGGTACAGTTCCTTGAAGACAACCTACGCACAGTAAGGTTATTGGTTGTCTTAAAAGGACCGTAGACGCATCACTTACATTGGACATGGTCATCAGACTGCTCTGGTCTAGGAAAATTGATTTTTTGCTTATGTTCAGATGCTAGATCGCGCAATGTCGCTCGTACTCTACTCACACCCGTCACTATAACAGTCTTGTCAACAACCCTCAGCAGCTCGAACTCCCATCCAGATCCACCGTACCTGATTAATCCACAAGCAGCGGCAGCGATAGTGAAGTACACGCTAAGAGACTCCTTCCTACTCATCGTGCGAGGCACATCCGTAGCCTGCGTCTCCACCTTACTCCCTGCCATGAGACACTCGACAGCAACGCCGTGCTCGCCGTGCTTGTCGATCGAGGGCGTAGACATGAGGGTAGCAAAATAGACAGAGGGGGCCGATAAGCATGCAATTAGACTGATCCTGATGTTCCTTATAAAGATGTTCACACCACTTGTCCGACGTTTGCCTGGAGGGAATGACACACGTGCGTCCTATCTTCGTGCTACGTCTTCACAGCAGTGTGTAGGATCCATGGCCTGGAGGGTGTCTAGGACATCTGCGAGTCGCACGGCCTGTTGAAATACGTTTGGAGAACGCACACGACTTCGGGTGCCAGTATCCTGGGGTACCAAGGAACCAAGGTGCGAAGCATACCCTTGTCTATCCACTGCGATGGACTGTGAAGGTGCAAGCGAGCTAACGAGAAAGATTCAAAGTACTAGTGGCCCAATACTGATAAATGGCACTGATCTCGACTCGATGTGCCATAGCAAGCAAGGCTTCGCGATAGTCACTAAAGTTTGATACGCAACGTCAGAACATATTCATGTCATGCCGACGGAGATGTGCGAAACCAAGCTCTCACCGTACTGCTCTTGTGACCGAAAACCGTGTTATCTGTCGACGGATACAATCGTCCTTAGAACGAAAATGTGCTGAATGCTTTTGCGGCACGGTTTTCCCTTCATCGACGTGGAGCGCGGCGTGTGGCATGGCGAGGGCTTCGTCGTTTTTGAATTAATCGTAAAGTCATCCTCACATCGAATCTCAAAGTAGTCGAGCCGCTGTACTTGAAATTGAGTACACCGAGCACCGAGCAGATGAAAGATAAGAAACAAGCACCTCCAAGTTCAAGTGGCTCTATTTATGTACTCGGAACGCCACAAAGACAGCGCTAATATCCTTCCATATCTTACCGCAAGCTCCGAGTCACTGTAATGTTGTCTCTCGACAAGCGTGGCCCGCAGCCCCTAATTCGCCCATACACCGGCCGCCAATGCAGTCCAGGACGAAACATCCGCTCTCAATCACCCGGCAGACCGTGACGTCCTTCTGGGCAGACTCGACCGCATCCCTTCCTCGACACCATCCACGCTCGGTACGAGGAATTCGAGGCTGGTTACGAGCCTAATTCACGCTGCAAAAGAAGATGGTTGTCCTGTACGTGTTGATAATGGATATATCAAGATGAAGGAGGATACATACAACTCTTGCTCTGCGACCTTTCTGTTCCACTCTTGTCTTCAAATCCCATTGCTAGTCGACTCAACACGAAAGGTTACTTGGCCTTCGAGTCGAACGGAGTGCCTCTTGTCAAAGGTAGAGGCGCGAAGTGGGGTAAGATAGTTGAGCAAAAGTGTGACATTCAAACCAAATGTATCATTAGATTCCGCAACTTGACAGTCAAGTTGTTGCTGTGGATGTTATCACTCCCGTTGAGGAGCGGGAAGTGGGTAGTAGATTGTTCGTTTGTCCTAGTTGTCGAGCTCGTACTTCGTTGTGTTGCGTCATGAAGGAGAAAACAAATGGCTACGTAAAATGGTGCACTACCATAAACCCCAGGCAGTCTTATAACGCCATTTGGTGGCCAATTTGTGTGGCCTGGTGGTCTAGTAGTATGATTCCTTCTTAGGGTATGCATAGTGTGGTTACCGAAGTTGGAGGAGGTCCCGGGTTCAATTCCCGGCCAGGCCCATGACTGCTGGGAGTAGGTATTTTGTGCCGTTCGGGGTAAGGGGTTATGCTAATCCCCTGGCCATGACATAGTTTCCAGCCATTCTTAAAGAGTTGTAAGCCAACCTGGTCACTCACACCAAGCTCACAGAGCAAGGCTAGAATACTATATCGATATCATTTGTGTTTTCATTGTTACTTTAGCCTGAGTGCTATAACGTCCCATTACTGTTTTCGGTACTCATGATCTCCTTCAACCACAACGAGAAAGACGGGCCTAACCTCACAACCACACAGAACTTCACCGTGTCAGCCACAGATAAAGGGTTAATCACTGTTCACCAATCTTAGCGAGACTCGAGTGGTCGTCAACTAAGCTTTGCTCGTCGTCCTCTCCAACAGCGCCTTCCCAGCCGTTATCACGGAGGTACACCACGAACTTGCGGTCCTCGTCGGCCAAATCGACCCCAGTCATGTCGGGGACGAAGAAGTATGTCACCAGGATACCGGCGAGACCGCATATAGCAGCGATGATGAATGTCCACCTTGAAAATCCACGAAGACCGCTCAGTACGGCGTTATATAACTTGGGTAGAGAGACTTATTTCTTACTTTTTGCCGAGGTTGGTTTGGATGGGAGTGAATACCTGGGTACCGACGACAGCACCGGTTTTGCCGAATGCAGCTGACAAGCCGTAGCATGTTCCGCGAACGGCAGTCGCGTAGGATTCGGCGCTGGTTAGGATGGTCATGTCACCAGGACCTAGGTTGCCGAACGATTGCATCGCACCATAGCTGGATGTGACACCTCGGGCTGTCAGTAAGAATTCTGAGTTGGGGTTGAACAGCGCGCGTACAAGACGATGAAGAGGGGGATAATCGTAGAAATCTTGTCGTACGCGCAGCCGATGATGAGTCCAAAGATAATGTAACCGCTGAACCCCAACATCATCTACAAATGTTTTTTTTCGTCAGGTTTGACTGCCATTGAATACGAAAATGTAGACTGACGAACCGTGTTCCGGCGACCGATGATGTTACACAGGTAAGCGCCGATAAAGACACCAGGAAGGGCGAGTGTGCCTAGGAGCAGCTGCCACTCCGCAGTCTTCTTGACATCGCCGTTGTGAATGATACTGGAGATGATCGCTCCGGAGAAGATATTGTTGGGGTAAATGACGAAGTCGAAAAAGAACCTGAACGACGTGTTGAGTCCTCCTATCCGACCGGGGATGTCAACAGTGGTACAGACCATGCTCCACAGGTTCCGATCAAGGACCGCCAGTACCTTTTCGCGACCAGCTTGTACGGTACGTGGCCTAGTCAGTCTCAGTATAAAGCTGATCCACGCAATGTTTTCATCATCGGCGTACGTTTGATTGCCCCCTTGCGATAAAGCTTGGAGCTGAGCATGCGCATACGGAAGTAGAACACCGTCAAGGGAAGCACGATGCCAATTCCAAAGCACACACGCCAGACGGTGGCGAGGTGATTTTCACCGGCGGCGGATAAGACAATCAGAAAAGTGAGAACCGCCAGAGGACCTCCGAACTGTGTCCAGATTTAATAGCTGCACGAAACTGCTGGTAGATTCTGCCTTTGGCTTACGCTGAGGACGAAGTTTGTCACCATGACGATAACTGTGCAAAGTCAGGATAACGGTCATTCATTGGGGATGATTGGTATGTACCAGGACCACGGTTCTTCAGCATTGCCTCGTTTGCGGATTCGCTGGCACTAGTTGAAGAAGCAGGGTATTCGCCACCGACACCCTTTGGAGGCATCGTTTAGAGACGACTCTGCGCCTACCAGAAGTCAGGTGAATCATGACTTACAACACCAGTGAGACCACGTGCAAAGGTCAAGAACCAGAAAAGACCAGCGGGGCTGCCATGCGCCCCGTGTGCGGCTGTCCCGAGGGTGGCACCGATGACAATGAGGACCGTTGTGCCCACCAAAGCTATTTTACGACCGAAGCGATCGCAAATGAAGCCCACGAGAATCATGCCGAAAATGTCGCCTGTAGAGTTGTCAGGAAGTGATCAGCTGGGTGTCGTATGAAAGAAAGCGGCTACTCAGATAAGTATACTGACCGACGAGGAGCGCATTTGAGACACGGGTTGACACAGAGGATGTGTATTCAGCTGGGTAAAGTTCCTTGAAGACAACCTGCGCACCGCAGGGCTATTAAGTATCCATGAAAGGCTGATAGATGCATCACTCACATTGGACATTGTCATCAGATTGTTTTGGTCTAGAAAAATTGATCATTTGGGTGATATGATATCGCTCAATACTCTACTCACACCCATCACTGCAAAAGCCTTGTCAGCGACTCCCAACAGCTTCAACAGCAGTCTAAATCCACTTACCTGATCAATCCGAAAGCAGCGGCAGCGATAGTGAAATATGCGCTCAGGGACTCCTTCCTACTCATCGTACTCGGTGCATCCGTAGTTTGCGGTTCCACCTGACTTTCTGTCGGGAGACAGTCGACAGGAACATCGTGCTCGCTGTGCTTGTCGACCAAGGGAACAGACATGGTGGTAGAGGAAGAGACGGAGAGGAGCGAGAAGCAGGTAGTACCTGATACTGATGTTCCTTAAGGAGACCTTCACACCACCTGTCTGAACCAGGTACTACGTTTGCCTGAGGAGTGACACACGTGCGTCCTATTCTTGTGCTTCGTCTTCACAGCAGTGTGTAGGATCCATGGTCTGGAGGGTGTCCTGGACTTCTGCGAGTCGCACGGCCTGTTGAACTACGTTTAAGTACGTACACGACAGGCGCATCTTAGAGTAAGGAGCCGCAATGCGAGACATACCTTTGTTTGATCACTGCGATGAGTTGAGGGGCTGCGAGAGACGATGGAAGCAAAGTTAACATTGCTAGCGGGTATAAGCAGTCTGCACAGTGACCTGAAGTCGATTCACAAGTGAAAGCCTACCTAAGCTTTAATTCGCAGTGTCATGCCGACGGAGATGTGTGAAACCAACCGTCGGCTCTCTCACGAATACTCTCGCTGTACTGCCCTTGTACCTGACGAAAATGTACTGCCTGTAGACGTATGCAGTCGTCGCCGGATTGAAGATGCAACAAACGCCCCTGCGGCATCTGTCCCTTGATCCATGAAGAAGGCGTGCAGTAAGTATGATGAGGGCTTCGTTGACCTTGCATTGTTTTGCTATAGTCGACCTTTTTTGACCTGCAAGAAAGTGTTCACTTCCAGTCAAGGTTGAATCCGAGCGCAACACTTGCTGGCTTTCTTGTCCTCCTGTAACTTGCAGCAACCACTAAAGCAATTTCGTGCATGGCTTGAACGTTGTGTAGTTCCAGTCTTCATATACATACCTTGCTAGACCCTCAATCAACAAAGCTACTGCGTGCCGTTGGAAGCATCTAATCACCGTTTGCAACCGCCGGTGCAAGGGTGATTAATCAACCCATCGGACGCTTGTCGTCGTGTAGCTGCAAGACGAAAGACGGTTAGTACTTCTCTGTTCCTGCCTATGAGCGTCCATGAAGAAATTTGCGTCGGGAGGTGCGTACCGTTTTATGCGACGATCGACCATACTCGACCTTGTGTGCTCGGTCCGACGCCCATTCGAAGAAGCTGGGTAATTAGCAGTACATGTCGCAGATCGCTTCTCTGCTAAACGCAGACATAGTAACCAATGCGAGCGTGGCTTGGCCAGCGGAAACTGCTTGGGTAAATTCGCGAGAGTAGTACTTGTACCGTCGCAAGTTTGCGCGACGGCACGAGTACTGGTTCTTTCCGGTGTCTATGCGTTTGGCACTCAACCAATTTTTCTGGCAATCTAGATTTGCTAAACTGGACGACATGAGCCCCCTCTGCCCGCGTTATTCATTGTAAAAAATGTGACATACCCCCAGAAATGCTTTTCACCATGAGGCGTGCCATACGACAGGTCATAAGAAAATTTTCTGGCCCTTTCTCACAGTTATGGCCCGCAGCTCTTCCGACCGCGTTACATAACACAAGTCATTTGGCTTGGAGCGGGAGGCTCATGACGCTGCACGAATGGATATTCTGGGTCACAGTCACGCAGAGTTCCGCCTACCTTGCGAGCGTCGTCTGCTGCATTGCAGTGGTCAACGCCAGCACGCTATGCGAAGAGAGCAAGAGAAGACAAAGTTGCTTGAAACAGCGACGAGTGGCCGTTTTCCGGTAATGAGCCGACAGACGGCAGCAAAGAGAGCGAAAGTGGAGCGCGTTGTGGGCGGAGGCGTGAGCGTGACGTAAACACAGGCTAATACGTAGTGTGACGGGTCACAGCGGAACGCCGCTCCTGCACGTGCAGTCACGCTTCCACTTTTCCCCGGGTGGGCGGATTGTGGGCAGTGAGGGGTTTCAAGATGCATCGCTCCAGCTCAAATACCTCGCTCTCGTCGTCGCCCTGGGTTCGTTGTTAACGTCCACCACCATCCTCCCCATCATTGCCACTCCTCATTCCATACCCCGACACACTACACCTCTACTCCGAATTATCGTGGCGCCACGCTTCCTAACAAGCCCGACATGCCTAGGAGTTGCTTGAAGCTCACGCCGCCGCTGACACCGCAGCCTTTAAGTTGTGCGGGTTCCCCGATGGCCTCGGGAAGCGCGTCGCCAGCTTCTGGAAGCGTGCCCTTGCCGCCGCTTCGCAAGACGGTGTCTTTTTGCCCCGCACTGGAGGAGTTCTTTGAAGCGGATGACTGGGATAGGACCCCTGCGCCAGTCGCGCCAAAGCTATGTTACCAGTGAGTAGTCTGTGTTCGCTACAGCTGCTATCCTTGCATCTTCAGTCCCTCGCAAACGGTCTCGTGCGAGGTCTTTGAGGATCCCGCGGGCTCGCAGGTCCTGACTCACTCTGTTTGATTACCTTATATGGTAATCATACAGCTGGTGCCATGGCCTGTGGAACGACATGTCTGGCTACCGTGCCATTCTGTTCCATGTCGCATATTTGGAGCTGGTGCTACTTTTTACTGGTTTGACGAAATCTTTCGCTATGTCCAAG